CCCGGAGCTGTATTAGATTTGGACTTTTTGATAACATTTCTCATGCAATCTGGTGAGATGTAACAGGCAAACGACATAGTTACTTTCTCATGCATTGCATGGTCATAATCACGGACCCAAGGGCATCAAGGTTACAGTCGACGGGTACAGACCACAACTGTTTCCAGAACCTTTCATTGGCGTCCATGGGAGGCCGCTTATCATGCTCACCATCACCGTCTGTTTTAAGTTGCCTGTAGAAGTGTTTTACATTATTTCTAAAAAGTTTATTCTGTTGATGAATTTATTTTTCTTTTCCCATTTTTTCTTTCTTTCAGTCCAAACCTTTATTTTGGCCTTAAGGGAATCGACAATTTGGAGAAGTATTTTTTCCTTTGTTGTCTAATACTGTAATTTTAATTGTCTCCAAATTGACTTTTGTCGTTTAGACATGGGACTCCCTGATGATCTTAACTTCAGGCAAAGCTCTATCAAGGTAATGTATTTTCTAGTTTCTGTTAATTTTACTTGAAACCGGTTTTTCTTTGGTGTATTGTTCTTAGGACTAGATGTGTTTTCTTTGGAAACTGTGTGAAGTTCCTCCAAGGTTCGAGCGGCAGCATAGACACAACAATTCACTTCATGTAACGAACAGTACGCTGAAAGTTTCATAGAAATAATATAATTTAATAAATTAATTTCATTTTTGGGAAAAGATTCATTTTCGGAAAGATCAGCAACTGAGGAAGCGGAACAGTGAAGATCCAAAATTTCGGGGCCAATTGGCTCTATGCCGGAAGAGTTTGCACCAGGAAGAGGAGAGAGGTTAACGCGGACGTCCATCAGAAGTTTTGGGTCTACTGCCACTTGAACATTCTGCTCATGCAAAGGTTCCTGACGGGCACCAGTTGTGGATTGAACTGGCTCACGGGGCACTAGATTTTTAAGCCGCAGGAATTGATCTCGGAGATTTTGCTCCGTCAGGAAAGCATACATGTGCATGGCATTGTCCCAATGCAGCTTGAGCGACTTGTCGTTTATGCGTGGATTATCAGGCAATCCTGTCGCTTTCGCACACTCTAGTAGTGTGGTTTTGAGATGGTTTGACCAAGATATTCTTGATCGGGTGCTGTGCCTTCCCCTGGGGCAAGTCCCATTTCCAGTGTGGATGGTTTGGAATACCGGAGGGAGGCTGACTGGTTGAGGAGTTGAAAAATGGTTTGCTCCTTGTTTGTCTGTAACCCAGTGAAAAACCAGCTTCGGGGGGTCAGCCCTAACTGGGTGATGTACGTTCAGTTCAGGGAATATAATTCCCCTATCTAGGCCAGCCACGGAGAGGCGTACATCATCAGACTTGGCGTACATCATCAGGATTAATATTATTATTATTGGATATTTATATAGCGCACATATCCACGCACTAGTGCATGCTCAAGGCTCTGGTATTTTTTTCCCTCGATCATTGGTTGTCAATCTCAACAGCACACCTGATTATCAATCTCAACTCCCTTGGGATCATACAACTCTTGCTGCCTCAAGGCGCACCGAGTTATTGCGGCTTTCCCATCCTTACGAGGTACCCAATTCACAGCTGGGTGGACTGGGACACATAGTCACAGTACTTTGTCCAAGTTCACTGCACGTTGCTGTACCCGCAACTAGGTGTTTGCACGTACAACGTATTCATGTGGCCACCATCTGGTCATATACCAACGAGGGGCGGTGGGGTAGCCTAGTGGTTAAAGCGTTGGCTCGTCACGCCAAAGACCCGGGTTCGAATCCCCACATGGGCACAATGTGTTAAGCCCATTTCTGGTGTCCCCCGCCGTGATATTGCTGGAATATTGCTAAAAGCGGCGTAAAACTAAACTCAGTCAGTCAGTCAGTCATATACCAACGGGTTCGTGGGTTCTCTTAAGTGCACAGGGTTGTGTGTGTACTGTACACTAGGGGTTGTGACATCACTAAAAGAGTCTGCACTCAAAGTTGACTCCAAGACTTTTACAACCGGTCACAGGTGGGCTCGATCCCGGCACCTCAAGCTTGCTGGATCACCAGCTGGCGCTTTAGCTAGCTCGCCCACCACGTCCCCTAAAAATGCGAAATATGATGATCTCGAAAAAACATCTTCGTTGAGTCTAAGTAACGCAATATATAGGTATATAGGATGAGTTTAAATTATTGATATTTATTCAAGGTGTTTTGATATTCATCTTTTTTTAAAAAAAAGAAGCTTTTTGTAACCATCGTTTTAAAACAGTCAAAATTACAAGTAATTAATGTTTTACATGAAGTGATATTTGTTTTGGTTTTCACGGCTATTGACTCGGTATGTTCGTAGATGCTTGAGGTATTTCCAATCTGTAGCTATGTTTTCAAAGCGTTCTAGTCGTCAGGATGTGCAGGTTCTCATTAAATCGTTCGCAAGTTGCTTAGATTTGTGATGATTGAGACAGACATCTCGCAGCGGTGGATTGTCCACCATTAAGCCAATCCCTGACTCGCACGAGTTGCTGATTTCGTGTGTCGCAGCATATTCGCTTTGTTATCAAACTTGCAATTTTGATGTGTTTTCGTGTTCACCCGAATTGGTGGGCTTTCATTCCAATGAACGTGCAATTCACGCGATTCACTGCAAGAGTTTGTTGCATTTCCCGTTTTATGACCCATTTTTTCTCGTTCGTCGATAATACCATGTCAAACAGCCTCCATGACATAGCCGTTTGTGTATGGGACAAGAAGCTAGGAATTACCTTACTCAGTATTATTACCAGTAATGTGAGTGTCAAGTTTTAAAATCTGTTGGGTATATGTGGTTGCACCTTCTCATGGAATTGTCTTGAAAAAGAAAATAACTACGTTCGCGTAACCTTGATTCGTGGATATAAGTGTGGCGAAAATTGAAAAAGCCTAATATTCCACTCGTGAATGAAACGTTTGTGTACCGAACCCATTTGCAATCACCATCCATTCATGTGCCCACAAAATGTGACGTCACCTCGTTTCGTGGATTACGTAGTTGGTTACTTTATAGCACTGTATACGACAGCCCATTGCAGTAAGTATGGACACTAGGAAATGATGTGAGAAGGTTGGTGCTAACGGTGCTATCGTTTTTACTTGACATTTTATAAAAATAATAGCTGGTATTAGTGGCATTAGTGATCTTGAGCTATTTATCTCCGTGCTGGACAATTAGATGTACTTACGTCTAATACAGAGATTCCGAACATTTTTTCCAGCGAGGCGTGGCATTGTGTGCACGTCAAAAGTACCGCTCCGTTACGTCATACGAGACTTAATCTACGAGATAACATGGTTATTACCGCGATCAACGAATCAATGCTATCCACGAATTCAGGTTACGGTTCTCTATTAACTGTACCATCCCTGACCACTTTCTGAAAGATATTTTGTATTCATAGATTTCAGACAATTTATACTTATTAGAGGGGTACATACAGTACATAATCATGAGTTTTCCATTTTTGTCAAGCTGCGGTAGCTGAGTGGGTTTGATCGCCAATATACTATTCTGTGCCAGCGATCAGGTGTCTCACTCCGAGAATGTGGGTTTGAATCACGAATCTGTACTTTACTAAGAAATTATAATCCAAATTATATCGTATGTTGCATTTGACCACTTTCTTAAAAGAAGTTGTGTTTTCCTGACTTTTAACTTGTCAGTAAATCAAGAATAGATGCAAATGTGATGTAGTTCTAAAGTACAAAACAAAAACAAAACAACAAGACAAACAAAAAACAAACAAAAAACAAACTTTACGTGAAAATAAAACCAGCCAGAGTATAACCAAAGCGTTTCCCGACTTTTAACTTGGTTATACCCAGATACTTGATGCAATAACAAACTATTTATAGAACAACGCGATGACGTCACCGGAATTGAAAAAATAAAGCACTCAGAAAAAACAACGGTATTTTGAAATAAACTAATTAAAATAAGAGACATCTACACTACATTGAGACTACATCAGATGTCGAAACTCATCTCCAAAAGATACAACAAACAATGAAACGTGTAATTTCTTTGATTTATTCAAAACAAACAGATAGGTTGACCAAGGACTTCACAATCCGTTCTGAAAAAAGATCACATCACCATATAGAGCTCTGCAGTTTTAGGCAATTGCACAATTGTCAGTTTGGTTAACGAGTTATCTGAGGTGAGGTGAGGTGAAATTGGGTTTAACGTCGTGCTTGAGAATATTTCGCTCATATGACGACGTGCATGCGTGTGTATGTGCGGCTGCTTGTACTAGCCCAGACTAGCTGGTTTTATAGTGCTAGCCCACTGAGATACCATGCCGCAGTGAAGAATGAATACCCCCACTCAGACACATTATACTGACTCCGAGCCAACCAGTCCTTGTTGTACCCATTAATGCCGAGCGCCAGGCAGGGACCAACAAGTACCATATTTTAACGTCTTTTGGTATGACGCGGTTTGGGATAGAACCCGCGACCTTCCGCTCTCCGGGCGGACGCTCTACCACTACACCACGGAGGCGGTCTACGAGTTATCTAAAGTCAAGTAACGGAGGAAAGTGTTCCTAGATATTATAAAAATAAATTATCGCACCAGCTGTTACGAGATTGTAGGTTATGTTATGTCACTATCTTATTGGCTAGGCGAATTGAGTATGAGTGAGAGAGTTTAGTTTTACACCGCTTTTATATACAATATTCCAGCAATATCAAGGCGGGGGACACCAGAAATGGCTTTCACACATTTTACTCATGTGGGAAATCGAACCCGGGGCTTCGGTGTGACGAGCAGACGTTTTAACCACGAGGCTACCCTACTGTCACTGATTCGAATTAAGTACTCTGAGACGTGACCACTCTATTGTGAGAACGGATATTGTGTTCACTAAACAATGCATAACAAACTGATTTGGAAATATTTCGAAAATGGACTTTGGACAATGGATCATTTTACATGTTCAGTAGGGTAATTTGAACATTTGTGACCAAGCTTCAAAAGCGTGTCAACTGAATGATTATTGAAGACTCACCAGGACAGTCATACAGAAGTTCCTCAGCCAGTTGTCGGCGCCGATTCCGCTGAGGAGGGTGGTACAGAAAGGATCCAGTTCATCTCCCAGAGTGCCAGTTGCTCCCGTATCACCTCTTGTGCCCATGACACTATTAGAGGCCCCTTGGCTACCAGTGGAACCTGTAGGCCCTGTGGGGCCCGTCACACCAGTATTGCCGGTAAAGCCCGTGTAGCCATCTACGCCCTTAGCTCCTGTAACACCCTGAGCACCCACTCGTCCAGTAACGCCCGATTGGCCTTTGGTTCCGTCCTGGCCCATAGCTCCCGTGTTCCCAGTTTCTCCTGTGTACCCCGTGTACCCTGTGTACCCAGGCTCGCCTGTTGACCCGGTGTATCCAGTGTCGCCTGTGCTACCTGTGATGCCAGTAATGCCAGTGTTTCCTGTGTAGCCTGTGTAACCATCGCTGCCAGCAGTTCCCTGGGAACCGGCCTCTCCATCAGCACCATTAACACCAAAACTGCCACTGGTGCCCGTGTAGCCCTGGAATCCAGTATATCCAGTGGCCCCAGTAGAACCGGTATTGCCGGTATATCCTTGTGTGCCTCTCATTCCCTGTTGTCCTTGAACTCCGGTAACCCCTCTAGTTCCATCGTCACCTGTGTTTCCAGTATAGCCGGCTAGGCCAAGCGTGCCATCCTGACCTGTTGCCCCTGTCGCGCCCGTATAGCCAGTGTATCCCTGGACTCCTTTTACACCTGTTGGACCTGGCTCACCCGTCACTCCGGTCGCACCCTGCGTCCCTGTGACGCCTTTCACGCCTATTGTACCGGTTGCCCCTTTCTGCCCTGTTGGACCTGTCCGCCCTGTGGGACCTTTGAAACAACAATCCATAAATCATGACATTTTCAACGGACAGTTAAATTTTCTCTTTCTCTCAAAGTCGATAAGCCTAAACGGAAATAAATGTATTCTCATGTAGAATGAAATCAATTGAAGCCTACTGTAAATCGAATATAAGTAAAGAGAGTCAATATATTCTAGAATAACACTTCAAGTAAAATCAGATTTACCTCTCGAGTGACCGGCGGCCAGTGCCAGGACAGTTAGGAGAATGATACTGCTTGACCACATGTCTGTATTTCTAGTCTGCCCGATCAGGAACTGCACTGACCAGAGCCAGATCAGCATCCCTTTATACGATGAGAGGTGTCCAGTTTAATCAAGTACTGGACAGCTGAGTGATATCACCTGCTTCTGTGACTCCGCCTTCTTCTTCAACAGCTGTGTCAGCCTCCCGGCAGTGGCTGAAGGTCGGCTAATTGCTCAGCATCCAAGAGACACATTGGGCACCTAACACACTCATACACTACAGGAAAGACAATCTTGGACATTTTGGAATCAGGGGCCAGTCTGTCAATTATGTTCACTGCAGACAATAGACGTGGAATAGAATAGAAAATAATTATATCATTCGTTCGTATTTACCAGTGTTTTCTCCATACACGGCTGACCATTGGTATACTCTTTATGATGCTGCTAGTACAGTGACACCTTCTTAGAGTTCTGGGGCGGTGGGGTAGCCCAGTGGTTAAAGCGTTCGCTCGTCACACCGAGGAGCCGGATTCAATTCCTCACATGGGTACAATGTGTGAAGACCATTTCTGTTGTCCCCTCGCCGTGACATTGCTGGGGTATTGCTAAAGGCGGCGTAAAATCCAACTCACTCACTCAATAGCTGTGTTTTCCCTTACAGTGTATAAATTGTAAGTACTCATATTTGATGATACAAGGATCTGAAAAGCAAGACGCACACAAGGGGTGAATAACTTCATGCAACGGGGAACATCCATACGTTACTTGATGGGGAAGGGGTATTGTCGCATCTCTTCACATGAAACAGAGCACAGAAGGGGTAATTATATAATGAGTGGGTGAGAGAGTTTAGTTTTACGCCGCTTGTAGCAATATTCCAGCAATATCATGGCGGTGACACCAGAAATGGGCTTCACACATTGTACCAATGTGGGGAATCGAACCCGGGTCTTCGGTGTGACGAGCGAACGCTTTAACCACTAGGCTACCTCACCGCCCCAAAGGGATAATGCGGTGCAGCCTGTGTTTGTCAAAGGCTAAAGGGTTCAGTTAGGACGATGAAGTCACACGGTTACAGAACGAATACATACACCATATCCCCAGCAACGGATGAGAGAAACACAAAATAACACGAAACAGGAAGCATAATTACCAAATTCGTTTAGGAACTTAAAGGGCCACAGCTATAAAGGTTGGGTGGAAATGCATGGCACATGCAACAGGTGTGAACTATGCCTTGCAACCCATTTCTAAACAGGCCTATAGTTACAAGATAAAGCGCTGGCACGCTGTACGTGCAAGCATATAGGGTTATTCACTACCTCTGTGAATGAGTAAAATATATCCCACGTTAATCCCCTGACGCCTGTGGAATAGATAATCTAGATTGCCTTTCCGGGAAGGAAGCAGTAATGCTATGCTATTACAACCTAAGGATTTACCACAAACTGTATGTGAACGAATGTTCAACCCCGGCCTAGAGTGAGTGAGTGAGTTTAGTTTTACGTCGCACTCAGCAATATTCCAGCTATATGGCGGCGGTCTGTAAATAATCCGGACCAGGCAATCCAGTGATCAACACTATGAACATCGATCTACGCAATTGGGAACAGATGACATGTGTCAACTAAGTCAGCGAGCCTGACCACCCGATCCCGTTAGTCGCCTCTTACGACAAGCATGGGTTACTGAAGATCGATTCTAACCAGGATCTTCACGGGTCCCGGCCTGTTTGACCGTTAGTACCATTAGAGTGAGTTAGTGGATATGATTTTAGCAATATTCCTGCAATATCACCAGAAATGAGTTTCACACATTGTACCTATGTGGGGAATTAATTCGCGTTTTCGGCGTGCCAACGAACTGATTAACCACTAGGCTACCCCACTGCCTCCTGTATGCACAAATAAAACAACATGGAAACAGACAAACGTATGTTTTAACTGGGTTCCCTTGCCCCTGCCTGGTGAACGGTGTACATATGTACATGGGGTCAGTGTACCACCTGTGTATGAAGTCGTTGAGTTATTCCCTTCAAAAAGCACAATGTAGGCACCTTGTTTCGTGTTTCTTGGTGTTGTTCGTCACGTTTGATGTATTTCTGTTTTCGGAATGTATGGAGATGTGTCGTTGATTTTTTTGATGGTATATATTTCATCATTAACATAATCATATTATGTGGCTACATCAGCATCTGAGACTGAACTGTTTGAACAGTCAACATACGTTTGTAAATAGTGTGTCACGCTCACACCCATACGCAGGATCGTGGGGATGGTGGGGATCGTAGGATGGTGGGGATGGTGAGGATGGTGGGGATGGTGGGGATCGTGAGGATGGTGGGGATGGTGGGGATGGTGGGGATGGTGGGGATCGTGGGGATGGTAGGGATGGTGGGGATCGTGGGGATCGTTTTAGAGGATCTTAAGTCAGAGCGGAGTTGCTCGATCCTCACCATCAGTTTGTTGAATAGAATAAATAAACGCATCTGGTTCAACGAGATTCTCGTCTAGTTGCATATGTCGCACGTTCAAGGTGATTAATCTTGTGGTGGGGAACATTTCTTAGATAGCGGTATTGATTAAAAGTTAATTAATTGGTGATAACTTCAGTCATCTATCTATCAATCAGCATCCGTTGCGGGTTCAGTCATGCATATCTTTTCGATGGATCATCTACGTGGAGATATAACGTCAATATACAAACACATTCTCTCTTTCTTGCAGTCTCTTACTTTTGAAATAAAATTTCAACTGAAATAGTGTTCAAAGTTGAAACAGTGCTCCCGCCTCCCAAACATCTAATAACATGCTACAACCACGCTGAGTGAGTGAGTGGGTGAGTGAGTGAGTGAGTGAGTTTAGTTATACGCCACACTCAGCAACATTCCAGCGACTATAGTATATGGCGGCGGTCTGTAAATAATCGAGTCTGGACCAGACAATCCGGTGATCAACAGCATGAGCATCGATCTACGCAATTGGGATACGATGACATTTCTTCATGAGTACACTTCTTCATTTTATCTCAATCTCACTTTCACAAAAAATTTTTTAAAAATCAGTAACAAACACCACCCCACACACACACACCCACAAACACCCACCCCACCCCCACCCGAGATTTTGACAAAATACATAGGCATTTTCCTAACCAGGAGGGTTCATTTGCTGTTGAAGCATATCCCATCCTTCATTGTCCAAATTGCTACACAGATAAACAGACATAGAACACACAGAGACACGGACACACAGATAAACAAACATTGAATACACAGAGACACGGACACACAGATAAACAGACATAGAACACACAGAGACACGGACACACAGATAAACAGACATAGAACACACAGAGACACGGACACACAGATAAACAGACATAGAACACACAGAGACACGGACACACAGATAAACAGACATAGAACACACAGAGACACGGACACACAGATAAACAGACATAGAACACACAGAGACACGGACACACAGATAAACAAACATTGAATACACAGAGACACGGACACACAGATAAACAGACATAGAACACACAGAGACACGGACACACAGATAAACAGACATAGAACACACAGAGACACGGACACACAGATAAACAGACATAGAACACACAGAGACACGGACACACAGATAAACAGACATAGAACACACAGAGACACGGACACACAGATAAACAGACATAGAACACACAGAGACACGGACACACAGATAAACAGACATAGAACACACAGAGACACGGACACACAGATAAACAAACATTGAATACACAGAGACACGGACACACAGATAAACAGACATAGAACACACAGAGACACGGACACACAGATAAACAGACATAGAACACACAGAGACACGGACACACAGATAGAACACACAGAACACGGACACACAGATAACAAACATTGAATACACAGAGACACGGACACACAGATAAACAGACATAGAACACACAGAGACACGGACACACAGATAAACAAACATTGTCTACACAGAGACACGGACACACAGATAAACAGACATTGTCTACACAGAGACACGGACACACAGATAAACAGACATAGAACACACAGAGACACGGACACACAGATAAACAGACATAGAACACACAGAGACACGGACACACAGATAAACAGACATAGAACACACAGAGACACGGACACACAGATAAACAAACATTGTCTACACAGAGACACGGACACACAGATAAACAGACATTGTCTACACAGAGACACGGACACACAGATAAACAGACATTGTCTACACAGAGACACGGACACACAGATCGAGAGGATCTGGGGATCGTGGGGATCGTGGGGATCGTGAGGAACGTTGGGGGTCGTTTAGGAACCTGACGTCAGTTCCAAGATCCCGAGCGGTCCAGTTGCAGTAGCAGCTTGTGGCTTCTAGCCCGTGTTTTAAACTGCTGAATATATATTTTAAAAAAAGTAGGGGAACGTCGTTTTAAATTTACGATTAAAAAAATTGGGAGATATGGCGGAGTGGATCAATGCTGAAATGATAATACTGATTGTTTTGAGAGTACATCACCACTTGCACTTCCTTATGACCATAGTTGTTTGTACAGTAATCGCTCTTGAAAGATGATTGGTGTATGACGTGAAAATGTGCATGTGTACGATTTTCATTTTCAAACAAAAACAAAACGGCTAGAAACAAACACTAACAACTGTGTGTTTCAAGATGATTGTCAAAATTAATGGTCTACAGTGATTTATCGACCCTCTTGAAAACCGTCAAAATTAAGA